AGTTCGACTACTTCTCATTTCATTTTACTCAATCCCAAATCTTTTCCTCAGCTCCAAAAGGTATCCGTACACCTTTTCATGGTCAGGAAGAGACTTGGAGACACTCTCCTTCTGCATGCACCTCTTAGCCCATGCAATTATCTTGGGACACTCTGCCTCGATGCTGAAGTTGCCACACTGCTCAAAGGCATGGAACCAGCTATAGAATGGGACGAAGACAACATCAACATATCCCAGGTTTGATCCGCCGAAATAATGCTTGTCTCCAAGCTCTGCTTCCAGCACCTTAAGGCATTCGATGAATTCTTTCTTGCCTGCCTCTTGCTCCTCTCCTTTGCTTGCCCAAATTTTCCTCGTAATATCACTATAAATCTGTATTCCAAGATAAATTATTTAGAAACCATAACTTCTAAAAGGTCAAAATTAACCATCACGAAAATTACCGTCAACATTTAGAAGTGGACAAATATACGGCTTTCAGGAAGAAAACTACTAAAAAAGGATTTAGGCATATGAAAGCTGAACCATGACATTGCCTGAGATCTTCGACCTTTTGGCAAAGATCAAGCCCTACAACTTAAAAGTTGTGTCTTATGCGGGTTTTAGTCCTACTTATACTGGGTTTAGTCCAATTTCTCTGAATTAGTTTACTGTATGCGTTTACTTCACATAAAAATAAACAAATAAGTACCACGTGAAATTTGATAGGATAACGGAGTAATGTAATTTTGGCCAAACACAGCATGAATGTACCGATGAGTACCACGTGAAATAAGTACCACGTCTCGAGTTTCTGTAATCCATAAACAAATGATAGAAAGCTTCTATAAAGGGGTAGACTCCAAATTAATTCTCCAGCGTAACTTCGGACACGGAGGGTTAGCAAGAAAAAAACGAAAAAAAAACCCTTCCTTTCCCAGATCTCCCTCCACCTTACACAAGTTTTAACTTAATAAAACTTACAACTTTAACACTTAAGATTCAAATTTAAAACCTCCAATTTTGAGTCTTAAATTCTTAATCAATAAAACCACCTATTTAAGCCTACAATACGACGTCAACAAAACAAGGGTAAAAAATTACCCATTTTAGACAAAGTTCAATTCGTGAAAAACATATGTTCCTAGGCCCCCAAAATAATATGTACCATATTCAAAGCTAGCTTAAACATTCTCATGAACCCCAAATGGATAAACCCTAAATACAGAACAAAACGAGAAAATTGAATGGAACCATGTAACAAAAAAATAAAGTATGCATACCTTCTTATCAACATAATCAGCCCAGAATCTAGCTTGGGCTCTGGCGTAAGGATCAGAAGGGAGCAACGGAGCCTTGTCCTTCCACACCTCGTCAATGTACTGGACTTGGATGAGCGACTCACATATGGGTTTTCCATTGTGAACGAGCACCGGGATCTTCTTGTGAATTGGGTTCATCTGCAGAAGCAGAGGGCTCTTGTTCCACACGTCCTCTTCCTTGTACTCATACTTAATTCCTTTCTCCGCCAGCGCAATCCTCACCCTCATCCCAAATGGACTCGGCCAGAAATCCAACAGAATCACCTCATCAGCCATTTTTTCCGATCGGTCAAGGTAGGGAATCAAAGTGGTAGAGGGTTATAATTCTGTAAAAGTCTAAAGATAGGTGGTTCAGTCAGTTTCCGTGCACTTACAGAGGTTTGAAGAAGTCCACTCGGTTTTTGGGTCAAAAGAAAAAAATTGTGAGTTTTATAATTAATTTCATTTTTCCAAATGAAGGGTTCGAGAATCTTCCATTGGATACAGGGTATTCGCTTACGTTTAAAAAATATATATATTTTATAAGATAAATTATACATTAAAAAAGTTATTATATATTTTATAGAGGTTTGGAAAAAGGCAGTGTTTTTTTTTGGATCAAAAGAAAGAAATTGTGTAAATAAAGCATGCTCTGCAAAATTCATAACTAGTGTATAATTAATTAATATCATTTTTTAAATTGAAGAGTTCGAGAGCCTTCCATAGGGGATATTACATATGCGCTTACGTTCTACACAAGAAAAAAGAAGGAAGAAGAAAGATATGCGCTTGCGTTATCAGAATTTCTGGTTTACTCCGGACCCGTCAACGGCCAGCCGGGGTAAGTTTTTATTGCCGTCTAAATAGTTAATATCATTTTTTTAAATATGATTATTTATTATATTTTTATATTATTTTTTAAAAAAATTTATATTTATTTTTTTAAAATTTTTTAAAATATAATATTAACAATTGAATATGTAATAATAATATCATTCAGCCGCCATGAATATGATGCCAAACTGCCAGGAAATTGCTTATGTTAAAAGTGTTTGAATTAATAATTCAAATGAAGTTAACAATTAACCGATAATATTTAATTAATAATAATTATTATTATTTATAATTTAAAATATTTAATAGGGCCTTCCATAGGGCATATTAGATATGCGCTTACGTTTTACGCAAGAAAAAAGAAGGAAGAA